TGTGTGTGTGTGTGTGTGTGTGTGTGTGTGTGTGTGTGTGTGTGTGCATGGTGGCTTGTTTTATGTGTGGCCTCATCTTTCTTTCTGTTCCTGTTTGTGTTTGTTTTAGCAGCTTGCTCTCTGTGCTGGAGTTTTGTCTCCCCAATGTGTCTGCAAATGAGAGCGCTTCCATCTTATTCACTGGGGAGCCATTGGATACTCCATCAGGACGCTGATGGAATTTACTCCAAAGCTTGAGGAAACCCATTTAGAAAAAATAATTTTTTTATGACATGAAACTCATCCACATCCAGACTGTGCTCTGAAAAGTGCTTTCTCATCCAAATTTTTAGTATTTTAATTATACCAAGAAATTTGCCATTTTTAAAACATGTAAATGGAAGTTTAGAACAATTATTTACATATATCTTAGCAGATACATAACTGAAAGGGATTAAGTGATGGTCTAATTGCTTTGCAATATTTGGCAAACATAGGTGTCTGGTTTATATGTGAATGAAAAGTTTTGAATTGCTATGGTTTAAAATGATTACATACTTTGAAAGTTGGCCATTTTGTGTATGGTTTTTTAGATTTTAAAATGTGTAAATTCATGTTATTTTTACAATCAAAATACATATTTCCCTTATACTCACACTACCACTTAATGGTCATGAGGCAGGCATGCCTAGGAGATAGCTTAACTTTGGATCCCCATTTGAATTTGAACTATATATACACCCCCACACCACTCAAAGTAGTGCACTCTACAACCTAGTCCCTTCCCCTGAATCTGCATCCCCCTGACTCCAACAAGGACTCTAGCAACTTCAGAACCTCCTGAACCCCAATCCGGACTAGGCCATGCATATTTTTTTCTTTGGACAAGTTTTCACACATATGGTAACAATCAATTTTATACTTTTTCTTCAATGAGTTCTCAACTATATCCCCTTATCCAATTTGAGGAATAGAAAAGAAAATCTGAGCTAAACTGGTCTTGGGTATCTTGTGTAGTAAAGTATCACTTGATCCCATATTTATCATCTTGTGCATGATTAGGTATATATATATATATATATATACTTAAAATTGTATGCTTACAGAAAGGGAGAGTCACAGTAGAGAAAATGATTATATAACATAATCTGCCAATCATTATAGAGAATTACCCAAGCTTTACCTCTTAATAGTTAGCCTCTCCTTCTCTTGAAGTACATAAAAAATACTTCGGGGTAGCCTGGGCCCCTTGAGCATGCATATATATGTGTGTGTGTGTGTGTGTGTGTGTGTGTGTGTGTGTGTGTGTGTGTATGTATGTGTGTGTGTGCCATGTACATATATATGGCAATATTGAACCAAAAAATTAAGCCAGAATGCTATATAATTTCTACAAAAAGTTGATGATAGTGAATGCTTGAATCTGTTCTGTTGTTTGTTTGTTTGCTTATTTATTTTTAATAATATTTATTTTTACTATATGTGCATTGTTGTTTTGTTTGTCTGTATGTATGTATTTCCAGATCCCCTGGAAATGGAGTTACAGACAGTAGTAAGGTGCTAGTGGGTGCTGGGAATTGAACCCCAGTCTTCTGGAAGAGCAGCCAGTGCTCTTAATTATTGAGACATCTCACCAGACTTAACCTGTTGTTTAGTTATATAGATTTATTTTTTACTTTAACTGTTGTGGAAACATTTTCTATTGTTATGAATACATGATAAAATTTTCTTGAGGAAGAATTTAGAAAACTGTTAGGTCCCCAGCATTTTGTTTTGGATGGTTTGGGCATTATAAAGTGTAGGGATTTCAGAATAAAGTTTTCAAATTTTCTAATTTGTGAATAGCTATTATATTCTATTTATTCACCTATGTACATAGTGTGTGTGTGTGTGTGTGTGTGTGTGTGTGTGTGTTGAGGAAACATCTCAGTCTATGACATGGGCTATCCTAAATTTCATTATTTTCCTGCCTCAGCATCACAAGCACTTGGTTGCTGGTGTGCGTTATTGTACCCGGACATCATAGACATTTTTAACATTCCTGAATAAAATATGCTTGCAAGAAATGAAAGGTTTAGTTTGCCTATGCCCATTTTTAATTTTATAACATCTTGAAACTTTCACAGAACTGTGATAAGCTATAATAATTTATTTTCTTAAATAGAAAAACAAGCTCATGGTTTACATTAATTTCTTTGATTTATGCAAGCCTGAGAGCATGATTTTAGCCCAGGAACTTTGTTTCATATCTGCTATATCATAAGAATAAGAATAATAATCAAGGGTTATTCTTTAGAGAATATTGAAGCCTTCACAAGCACATAAAACATCTTGTTTAAAAATGGAAATGGATATTCTAAAAAGAAAGAGAGTTCCACAGAAAATTCTGCTTAACATTTGATTAAATGCCTCAGTTCAAAGAATAGAAAATAATTCAACATTAATAAGTCAAAAATCTACAGTGGAAACTGCTGATACTGGCTTTTTATTTTGATGAGACAGATATATTAAAAGGATATTAACTTTGTTCAAATAAAAGGGGACAAAAATGAGTATTGTCTGTTTAAGTTCTCTTTTAATTATTATACTAGATGTTTATGTTCTTCTCTCTTTTTGAAATTTTCAGAAATCTTAAAGGAAAATTAAAGTGGTTTTCTGTAACATATGGCATGACACAGAAAACATCTCTTCAGCAGCCTTCACAGCTAAGCTGGTTGATGCGTTTTTGTTCTTCCTCAAATAGACATTCCACCCTCTTCCCGTCTATGGCTGTAATTGATGATTATTTAGATCTGACATTTGTTCACACCATTGTTCTCTTCTCTGACATCTCCCCCCAAAATGAAGACTACCAACAAAGAGATTGCCCTTTTCTAAATGATTGAGTGGCCTCCTTTCTCAATATTTTTGCTTAAATTTTTATAAACATACACATGTCAGGAAAAAAAGGGGGAGGGGTTGAAGAATTGAGTTAAAGCTCCAGTCAGACCTTAACTAGATGTCTATCTTTGAGGCAATTTAGTAATTAAATTATTAAGTCATCCATGTATTTGAATAATAGCATCGACTTCATAATATTATAGGAAACCTTCAATGATGTCATGTGAATGAAGAGTCTGAGTACTTGATATTAACTTCCAGAAAAGTGACCTTCCAGTACTGACCTTCCCCTCTATGATGCTTCTGAAGGATTCCATTTTCCATGCCTCACAGCTATGGTGGTGGAGGAATCAAAAGCGATTGGGAAGTATTTGTGGTCAGGCAACAGTCGAGACCTTTGCCACTGTCTGTGT